ACATCCTCTCCACATTGCTCAAGTCATTCAAATTTCAACTTTTTAGCACTTTTGGCAGTCAACTTGTTCAGTAACAATTTTAACCATTTGCTAAAATCTCAGTAGTTGCTCTCACGAGCAGGTCATTACAACTTTCCTTTTCTGCCTTCTGTTGCTAACCACACTCACATGGTCACAAACAGCCCTCCAGAAAACTGACCACGGGTTATTTCTTGATCACACTAATGCTTGCAAACAGAGAAGTCTTAGCCTGTTCCAGCTTCTTGGGCCTTTGGCCCACCCACCCTGACCTCCACAGGGGAGAAGACCAAAGAAAGCACCACACCCTCACTCTGCAGCCGTCACCTGCTTCCTCCCCAGCACAGCTGCCCCGCCACAGCCCGGCTGTCCACTCCAGGGTGTCTGCTGTCCTGCTTCAAAACAGTAACTCCCTCCCTCCCTCCCTCCCTCAGACACTCATGCTGTTCCCTCACTGGCTTGACCTACAAAAGGAAGAAAACATTCTCCATCCTGGACTTCTGCCAGCTTTCAAAAGTAATTAAACTTCCCTCCCTTTCAAAGAGACTCATTGTGCAAGGCTTCTAAGTTCAGATGTGCAACTCCAGGGGGGCTGCTCCAGCTTTGCCTGGCCTTTCCTCGAGACCTCCTGGTGACACAACAGGCAACCTTGTGGGCCAGCTGAGGGGCAAGTGTGCTGTCATCTCTTCCTGTTGTCTCGGCTGCTTCGGCTGCTGTGGACTGGGAGTGTGTGTGGAGGTGGCGAGAGGGACTGCTCAGGACAGTGTGATCTCACATTCCGGCACCTCCAGAAGGAAGGCTCAGTGTGTTTCCACGCTCGGCCTCCTTGTTATGTTCTGAAATCAAATGTGTTTTGAAATCAAAAGGCAAAATTTCAGCTTCCTGTCCTCCAATTTTCTCATCCAGGGGTCTCAAAACTGTTGACAAACACTACCGAGTAGCAAGCACCATTATGTGTGTTGTGGGAGGGGTTCTTTCTTACAAAGTAGGCGATCTGGAAACGGTACAGTGCAGCGGAAAGAACAAGGTCTTTGTCATCAGTCTGGCCCAGCACATCTGTCACTTGTTCACAGTGTGGCCATGTGGAAGAAACTGGCAGCTCTAACCTCAACTTCTCCATGTTTAAAACAGGGACGCCAATTTCTACCTTACAGGTTTCTTTTCTTTTTAGTTAAAAATAATCCATGCAGAATTGCTTGTGCTGTGCTTGCTACAAAACAAGTCATCAATACATTACTAGTGTTATTATTGGTAAAAGTATGTTTTCCGTGCTCTGTGAAACTTTGCACATGCTAGATCACTGGGAAATAGAAAGATACGGATGCTTGGAAAATAGACTTTGATTTTTTTAAAAAAATAAAACTGAGACTGTGAAAGAAAATGACTTTTGACTCCTCCTGCTGGCCCTTGGAAGTACCACTTATTTGTGCTGGGCACCTTGTAGCTGGGTAGCTTGAAAACCTTTAGGCCTTATAGTCAAAGAATAAGATATCATTCAAACTCAGAAAAAAGAAAATATATGGGAAATTTGAATAAAATTCCAGCATTTGGAGCCCCAAGTGCTCAATACCATGACTATGAACAACGTTTCACCTTTGGTCTCCATCCCCAAGGACATGTACCATTTCATTTGAAAGATTCAGTCCATACACTTTACTGAGCACTCGCGATGTGCTCTGTCCTGGGCCTGGGGATTCAGCAGTGAACAGAGCAGACAGATCTCACCCGTTCATGGAACTTATATTCTAGTAAGGGATCGACTTGGAGAGTTAAAATTAATACAGTTCCTGGGCTTGGATCCCAGAAATGTTGATTCGGTTGTAGGTTGGGGCCAAGGCTTTATTGTTTTTTAGAGTTCTTCAGGTGAATGTCATCTGCAGCAAGATTGCATGGGAATCACTAACGAAGGCCCTCACGGGCCAGTTAAGAACGCTGGATTCATCCTAGTGAGAGGGCAGGACACGGGAGGGTTTGGAGTAGAGGAGCCCACGACGCCATCAACACTCCGACTGATGTGCAGGGGGCGGGGGCGGCGTAAGGAGAGCAGCAGGAGAGAGACTAGTCGAACGAGGTGGACACCTTAAAGAAAACTGCGACATACCGTCATAGAAGATGATGGACTGTTAAATTGTATGCCAGTGGACTGATAATGTGATGTAAAATCTGAAAAGGGAAAAAATTCAGGGTGGGATAAAGCCATTGGGGAAGGTTTAGCGTGAGGAAGGGGTGGGATTTCTCTAATCCATGGGAAGGCTTTCCCTGATCCCCACGTGGCACTCTCTGTCCTTGCTCCGGATACTTGGCCTGACTTGTCCCTAGGCCTGACAGAGAACTGGCCCAGTCGAGAGTGACAGTGAGAAATAAGTGAGCCAGAGAGGGGCCGAATTATGGAAGGACTTGGAGGGGACTTCTGAGCAGGAATGGCATGATGGCGATGTGTACAGCTCTGTGTATGGCCACGTAGGATGGGTCCTGGGAAGGGCAGACTGAGAGCAGGCAGCCGGGAAGGAGAGTGTAGAAGGCGTCTCCGTGCAGAGATGAGGGCCCAGGCACAGGGTAGACGTGCGAACGGAGAGGAGGGAACAGGTGCACGGGAAACGCACCAGAACTCCATACCTGAATGAACACGGGGGATGAGGTAGAAGCCAAAAGGAGTCCGAGACATCCGCAAGCTTTGGCTTCCAGAAAGAGGAGAAGGGGGCGAAGACGCGTTGGTAGTCTGGCTTCGCGCAGGTCTTCGTGGGCTCTTCGGGGCTTGTGCGGACTGGGGAACTGCCGCCGACTTTGCTCCCACCTGCCAGGGCTTGCCCTTGAGTCTTTCCTGGAAAAACCCCGTTATTCTGGCAGGTCCAGAGGCTGCTCTCCTGGGCGGTCATACGAGCACTCTGATGCTCTTCTAACTGTCCCCTTGTTATCAAGGTCCGTGTCAGTCTGCCAGAGCTGCCATAACAAAGCACCGCAGACAGTGGCTTAAACAACAGTCATGTATTTCCTCACAGTCTGGGGTCTGGAGTCTGAGACAAGGTGTCAGGAGGGTGGGTTTCTTCTGAGCCTCTCTCCGGGACTTACAGATGGCATCTTCTCCCTGTGTCCTCACGTGGCCATCCCTCACTCTGTGTCCTAATCTCTTCTTATGAGGACATTAGTCCTGTCAGATTAGGGCACACCTAGAGGAGCTCATTTTTTCTTAATTACCACTTGAAGACCCTAATCTCCAAACATAGACACATTCTGAGGTACTAGGTGTTAAGACTTCAACGTATGAAAATTGAGGAGACACGATTCAGCCCATGACAAGGTCCCAGCAAGAAGAGTTTTGGAAGATGACACTCTACCAAGACCTGCTCTCACAGATGGCACTGAAAGGTGAGCCAGCGGTGTCTTCTCCCAGTGTTCCTGTAGCCGCCATCCCTCAGGATGCAAAAGTACCCAGCATACTCTGTGATCCGTCTTTGCCAGAAACACCCTGTGCTCTGTGCTCTGCGCCCTTCACACACATGAGGCCGCTGAGCACTGGACCCACTCTCTCTTCATGAAGACACTGTCCTCACCTTCGATCTCAGTTCCTCTTTTCACAAGGCTCAGAGATGAGTCCCCAAGGCATGGCTGGTGGCAGATGGGTGACCTGCCCGCCCACCGAAGGGTATATGCAGAACCACTCCTCCCTTCCCAAGAGGGAAGCCTGGTCAAATGCCCTGTTCCTCTCCCTCGAGGATGAGTTCACTGACGGAAGCCCCCACACCCCTCTGACTCACTTGACCAGCCCCGATGGGAGTGAATCCCCAACAGTGGGTGGGGCTTAAACTCAGGCTACAATTCATGCTCCACACTTTGCCATGAAATGTGTCTTTTCACAGATTTTTTTAATTGAGAGATTTTAAAAAGTGCGTGACAGGCATTACATACTTCATGTGTGTTGTGGTGTCCTTTCGTGATGCCTTTGCTGTTTGTGCTTCATGGCCTTCTGTCATAGACTAGGATGGAATTTCATGGAAGTTTTTAAAGAACAGTGAGATAAAGAAAGTGAGCAACCATGTGACTGCTTACTCTGTGGGGATAGGGACAGTGTCTGTTTCATCCTCCCAAGAGTGCTCTGTGGCTGACATAGTAAAAGTCCAATAAATGTTTATGGGTTGTTGAAAGGCATGCATGGTTATTGTAAGTAGGCACTTGTAGAAGACAGAGATCTTATAATCATCATTTGTGGCTTACACCAGGTTTTCTGGATATTTTTTTAGGCCAGGACATACAAGAGATCTTAGCTCTTATAGTTGAGCCTAATACAGGTCTCTGTCTGAAAACTTACAGAGCCATAAACATGAACATAGACAAGACACAGACATAGCCATAGACATAGCCATGATCATAGACAACACACAGACATAGACATAGACATGGACATAGCCATAGACATAGCCATAGACATACCCACAGCCATAGCCATACCCACAGCCATAGACATACCCACAGCCATAGCCATACCCACAGCCATAGCCATAGACATAGCCATGATCATAGCCATAGACATAGATGTAAACATAGCCATGGGAATAGCCATAGACAGAGACATAGCAATGGTCATAGCCATGGGCATAGCCATAGCCATAGCCATAGCCATAACCATAAACATAGCCATAGGCATAGGCATAGGCATAGACATAGACATAGCCGTAGACATGGACATAGCCATAGACATAGCCATAGGCATACCCCCAGCCATAGCCATAGACATAAACATAGCCATGGGCATAACCACAGACATAGACATAGATATAAACACAGGCATAGCTATAGCCATAGATACAGCCATGGATACGGATGACACGGACATGCATATGCTCATACCAGTAGTCCCTTGTCTTCCATGGATCTCATTCAAGCAAAAGAAATGTGGAAATGGAGTGCACTACTCACTAAGGGCACTCGTGTCACATTTCTGGCATCTCTCCACTGCCACTGCACAGTGGGTGTGCAGCATGGCGTCACAGTGTCCAGGATGCTGCTGGGAAGTAGTGGCTCTCGCACTTCACGATGGCCCACCACAACTTGCCCTGGATTCTGTAAGCCACATTTGGTATTGTTGACACCTCACTGGTTCATGTTGTGGGAAGAATGAAGAAATTTATGTAATCGTGCTGAAGAAAGACTCGGGCATCCCCCACGTTTGAGTTTCAGGCCATTTTCTCCTAGGTGTGTTGCTCTCATATCTGGATGTAAGTCACTGATGCGCAGATCCATCCCTTTGCACACATTTAGCTCACACTTTCCCCGATTCTGTCACACTCTCCAAATTGGCCAGTCTTGGACTATGACCTGGGATGGTCAGCCTTTTGGAACTCATAGCTGGACTGAACATTACAACTTTTAAAGGAGCTCTTCATGATGACTTCACTGATAGTGTTAATAAGAC